GCCGTTGACCAGCTTCCAGCCTGCAGGCGGGAGGCGGCGGCTGGGAGCGGGGGGCAGTGTCTGGGGCTACGTGTCTGCGAGGGCTTGCGCGACCGGTGTTGAATTGGTTCAGCTCGTCCGCCCAGAAGGAGACGTTGAGGAGCTCTCGCTTGGCCCCTCCGACCCTCGCCACCAGGTGAGCAGAGGTGATGGCGCCGCCTTCCGTCTTGACGTTGACTGCGAGGTTGGGGGCGGAGAAGAAGGAGAAGAAGGAGCCGTGTTTGCCTCGGAAGTCGGCACCTCCATGCACGAACTTCAGGTCGGCCTGCAGGCGGCGCTTGCCAGAGGCTAGAGTTGCATCAATGTTGTTTGCCGCCTGGAGACCCCAAGATTCGGCAGGACTGATTCCGCGGCCTGCGACGGGCAGTGCTGTCGAGCGAACGGCAGAAAGGAGAAGCAACATTGCGGCGTGCGTGCTCATCGCGTTGTCGCCCATCGGAAGGTGGCCGTTTTGAGCGAGCCGGGGGCCGTCGCGGGTTCCTGGTGATTCCGGTCGTCCGTATGGCGATCGCGACGTGTGTGTTTGGCGAAACGCGGAATTTGGCGACACTTTTGCCCAATAGATCCCAATTCCGAGACTCATCAAATGATGCATTTGGGCCGCCTCCGGAGGGAAAAGCAACGAACGATCGCGAACCTACCTGCTTGGGCGTGGCACGCACGCGGGGGGCGCCCCCCCCCCCCCCCCCCCCCTCTGGGCAGGCGAGCTCCTCGCCCTCGTGCGCGTATCGGAGCCTGCCCTCCCCCCGCCGCCGCCGTCGCCCTTTTTGCCTCTCTCCTCGCCCGCCCTCCTCGAGCTGCTGCCCGGCCAAGCGCTGCTCTCCTGCACTGCCGAGTGGGCGCTCCCCCGCGTCTCCCTCGGCGAGGAGGCGAGCCTCACCCTCCGCCTCGCCTCCTCGCTCGCGGTGCCCCTCTCGCCCTCGTCGCTGCGGCTCGCCGCCTCTGGCGCGGACCTGTCGGGCGACCTCTCCGCGGCGGTTGCCAAGCTCGCCGCGCAGTCCGCCGCGCCGCACGGCGGCGAGGCTGCGCCGCGGCTCTGCATCCCTGCGGGCGGCGAGCTGCTGCTCGAGGTGAGCCACTCGGCGGGGGCGGTGGGGACGGTGGCGCCGAAGCAGCTCGAGCTTGTGCTCGGCGAGACGCCGTGCGCCATCGTGCTCATCTTGCCGCTGTCCGCCCCGCCGCCGCGCAACGGCGCCGCGGCGCCACCGCCCGAGGCTGCGCCGGCGCTGCTGCAGGTCACTCCGCCGCCGCCCGCCGTCCAGCTCACCTTTCAGGGCGCGCAGCCTGTCTTGGTGGGCGAGGTGGCGCCACTGTGCGTCTCGTTGGACGCGCGATCGGACGGCATCGCCGACGGCACTCTCTCCCTCTCCGCCGCCGGACCAACCTCCGCGCCGCCGCAAGCCGCCACGGGGACGAGCCCCGGCCCGGCGCCGCGCGCAGAGGCGGCGGAGGCGGAGGCGGCGGAGGCGGAGGCGCTCGAGCCGGAGCTGCTGGACGAGGGTGGGGCCGCCCCGCTGGCGCACCCGCTCTCGCTGCCGCCCGTCGTTCGTGACGAGTGCCACCGGGTGCGGCTGCTGCTGCGTGCCGTGCGGCCGGGCGCCGTGCGGCTGCAGGCGCTGCTCGAGTACGCGCCGGCCGGCGGAGGCGCGCGGGCGGAGACTGCCGTCTCGGCGATGGTTGAGGCGGTGCCGGCGGTGGAGGTCCGGTGCGAGTACCTCTTCTCTCCGACCCGGACTGCGAGGGGCTCGCTCGCGCGCGACGAGCCGCTGTGCGATTCCATCCAACTCGCGCCTCGCCGCACGCAACCCTCTCGCCCCACTCCGCCCGCCGCCGGCACTCCGCGTAGGCACCTGCTTGTCACCGCCTCGTGCCTCGCACCGCTCGCGGCCGGCCTCGTCCTGCACTCGCTCGAGGCGCGCCCCTCGCTCGTGGCAGGAGCCCTGCCGGGGACCCTCCCCCGGACCCTCGCCGGACCCTCCCCGGACCCTTCCTGCAGGTGCGCCCCTCCCTCGTGCGGGGGCAGCCCGCACTGGAGGCGGTGTCGGCGGGCGGCCTCGGGGCGCGCTGCGACGCGCTGCTGCGCGAGGGCAGCGAGCACACCGCCCTCTTCGCCCTCCGCCCGTGCGCCGACTTGCCCGCGCAGAGCCTCGGCACGGTGGTGGCGAGCTGGTCGCGCGCCCCGCTCGAACCCGGCGCCGAGCCGTCCACCGACGGAGGGGCGGAGGGGTCGGGGACGGAGCCGGCGGCCGCTCTGGCGCCGGAGCGTTCTGCGCGTCTCGCCTCGCCCGCCGCCGCCGCCTTGCCGCTGCCTCCGCGCGAGGCGCTGCCGTTTGCGCCGCCGGCGTCCAGCACCGAGGCGGCGCTTCCGGCGGTGGCGGTGGAGCCGGTCGAGTTTGATCTGGCGCTGACGGTGCCGAGTGAGGGGCGGCTCGGCGCGCTCCTGCAGCTCCAGCTGTCGATCACCAACCGCACGGACGCGCTGCACACGTTCCGCCTATCCTTTTCGGAGAACGAGGCCTTCCTCTTTAGCGGCTTCAAGCTGCAGCAGTTCCAGCTGCCGCCCGGCTTTGGGCACACCGCAAAGTTCAACCTCGTCCCCATCCTGTCTGGCCCGGCGCAGCTGCCGCCGCTCCGGCTCCTATGCACACGCCCGCCACCGTCTGCCGGGCCGCCTCGCGTGCCAAACCCCCTCTGAGGCCGGCCCGTGAATGCCCGCAGGCACCTCGACCAATGCAGAGCTGCTCGACCCAAAGGCGCGCCGCCTTGTCTTTGTGGCCCCGGGTGGCGTCCAGCGCAACGCGTGAGCTCTACTTCCATCAATATTCAGATGTGATGGAGCGATGCGATGCGTGTGTGAAGCACCTTATTGGATTTCAGATTTATCGTGCGCCATTGGACTTGGAGACGGACGTGTATCGTGTTCGTCTCCAATACACGATATCCGGATTGCAAAAAACGCATCCGGAACCCATACCCAACACATGACGTGAGTCTCAGGAAGAGGAGAAAAGGCGGAGAGAAAACAAAACGAGAACACAACGCGCACTCTCTCACATGGACAAGCGATCCTACGACAGCAACTGTGGGGACTACAGAGTGCGGCGTGCGATGCCTTCCTCACGTCTACATCCTCTACACCCTCCCTCAGCTTTGTGTTAGTGCCAGTCAGTGGACAGTGCGCGCCAGTCGCAGTCCCGTGCCTAGTGAGGGATTTGAGGATCACTCGAGCAGTTTTGGACTTTCGAAAGTGAGACATCGTCTTTACTAGCCCGTCGTTAGTCGTGAACGGTGGGGAGCCGTTCGCAGGAGAGCAGGCCGGCCGCCGCCGCTGCCGCACACACACGCACGCTCCGAAGACACACCTCACCTACCACCTCACACATCCTTCCCCGCCGCCGCCACTGCCGCCGCTGCAGGACATTGCATGCACGGAGAGCCGGTGACGGCGTCCATGGCCTCGCAGCCGAGCCTCAAAGGCTGGCAGACCTGGGGCGGCCGGCACGTCTTTCTCTGCGACGGCCGCGTCATGGTTGGACCGGACTGGGGCGTCACCTGCTTTGCTGTCGCGCTGACGACCGTGCTCAGCGTCGCCTTTTGGATCTTTGTCTGCCCGACGCTGGCGGGCGCGCCGCTCGTGACGAGCGTCGGGATGCTGCTGTATGCGCTGACGCTGACGCTGCTCGTGGCGACCGCAACCGCGGACCCGGGCATCCTGCCGCGTGCGCCCTACGTCGACGACGCCGAGTCGCTCGCCAACGCGTCCGCGGAGAGGTTTGTGGAGGCGCGGACGGGTCGGCCACGCGCCCTGCCTGCGCTCTCGCTGCACCTCTCGGAAGCTTCTCGGAACCTCCCCACAGGTGCGTGGCGTGACGATGCCGCTCAAGTGGTGCTCGACGTGCCGCATCTGGAGGCCGCCGCGCGCGTCCCACTGCACCGAGTGCAACGTCTGCGTCGAGCGCTTCGACCACCACTGCCCCTGGACCGGCCAGTGCGTGGGGCTCCGCAACTACCGATACTTCTTCGGCTTTGTGCTGTCCGTCTGCAGCCTCTGCGCGTACACGCTGGTCGTGTCGGCACTCTCCTTCCTGCACGCGCTCGCGGCGGCGCTCACCGACGCGACGAGCGGCGGCGACCGCGTCGGCGTCGCGCTCGACGAGCGGCCAGTGCCTGCCGCCCTCTCCATCGCGACGGCGCTCATCCTGCTCTGCGTGTGCCCGCTGCTGTGCTACCACTGCTCGCTGACGTGCCGCAACGCGACGACGTCGGAGGAGATCAAGGGCACCTTCGCGGACAGAGCCAACCCGTTCGACCAGTCCTGCCCGGCCAACTGCAGGCACGTCTTGTGCAGACCGCTCCCGCCCTCCAGACTGCACCTGCGCTCCGCCGCCGCCGAGGAGCTCGGCGGGCCGATGATCCTGCGCAACGACGGCGGTGGCGGGGAGGGCGGTGGCGGCGTGGAGCTTCCCATGGCGGCCGCCGACGAGGGGCCGCCGCCGCTGCGCACCGCCACCCTCCCCGGATCAGAGGGCAAGCGCCGCCCCGCACGCGAGCAAAGCTCTCCGGACGACGTCCCGGTCTAGCGAGGGGCCTTACGGGTCGGGCGGCCGCCAGCCGCCGAGCTGCGCCCCTCTCTCCTCACTCCTTGCCTTGGTAGCCTCCTCTTCTCGCGAACCCCCATGTCTGCTTAGCGCCGCTTGCGAGGCGCGATTCCTCTGTACCTCCCACCCGTGGCTGATTTTCACATCCCCCCTCAATTTTGCTGGCTAAAAGAAAGGCATGAATTCTGGCACCTCGTCCTCGACGCTCCGCCCTTGGCGCGAACACCGCAGTCATTTTTTTCTCTACACTCTAGCCGGCGGTGTGCTAAAAGAAAAAAAGAGCCCGAGTTCGCGTCCTTCCCGGGGGAAGGCGCAAGGAACAAGCAGTGCTTGAAGCAGGGAAGATTCAACGTGCGCGTCGGACGTCGCTTCACCAGGCCATGCTGGAGATCGGCGCTCCGGTGTCGCACGAGCGCGAGGTCTGACGCGTCCCGAGGTGCTCAAAGAGAGCGGTCATCTGATAGTTCAAGCGGCCTGGTACTCCAACAATTTCTTAAGAGTCGCAAGCACCGGTCCAAAAAGAAAAACACCGGGACTCGCGTGCTGTCTTACTGAGGCGCTCTCGCTCCTCTGCTCCAGCGCCTACCTCGCTTGTGCGGATAATGCAGGCGGAGGAGTGGCAGCCAGCACGGAACCGTCGGCGCGAGCAGCGCGGAATCGCCACGGTGGCAGCAGCAAGGCCGACTTCGTCCCGCCCGGCGCCGCCTTGCCGCTTCTTCCAGGTCGGCTCGTGCTCCAAGGGTAGCGCATGCCCGTTCTCGCACGAGTGTGGCAGCGGGGCAGCCCAGATCGACACACCCTGCCGCTTCTTCGCCGCTGGCCACTGCGCCAATGGATCCAGGTGTCCATTCCGACACGGGCCGGCGCGTCAGCAGAGTGCGGCCGCCGCAACGCCGCCACCGCTGCAGCGGTCTCAGCAGCCGGAGGAGAGGCAGCAGCCTCACCCCGAGGGTGCTGCGGCGGCGGCCGTGAGTGAGGTTGGACCGCACTCTTCTCCTCCAGAGCTCTCGATTCCTCCCCTGCCCTCCACTCCCCAGCCGTGTGTTGCTCCGCAGCCCTCTCCTCCGCAGCCCTCTCCTCCGCAGCCCTCTCCTCCGCAGCCCCTTGCCGGTGTGGCGGGCGGCCGAGGCCGAGGCCGAGGCCGAGGCCGCGGGCGTGGACGCGTCCCCGACCCGTCCAGGAGGGAGGCTTGCTCGGAGGACGAGGAGGGCGGCCCGGCCGAGGGCGGCGGCGGCGCCGCCCCACCAAAGGCCTCTTCTTACGTGGTTGCCGCCGGCGGCGCCGAGCCGGCGGCGCGGCCCCTCTCGCCAGAGGCGCGCCCTCGGCCGGGCGGCGGAGTCGGCCTGGACCCGACGGATGCGGAGGTGCGCGCTTCGCTGGACGTGGCGTGCGGCGTCTGCCTCGAGCAGGTCCGGCGGTGCGTGCCGGCTGGCCTCTTCGGGATCCAGTCGGGGTGCAGCCACACCATCTGCTTGGCATGCATCCGCACGTGGAGGGCGTCCCACACCGTCTCGATGCAGGAGGGCGGCTCGCGCGTGCCCCGAGTGCCTGAACCTTCTCTCTGAACCTCCCCGACCCTTCGCAGGTGGCTCGCTCGTGCCCCGAGTGCCGCGTGCTGTCACACTATGTGGTGCCGTCCGCATTCGTCCCGGAGAGCGCCGAGCGCAAGGCCATGCTCATCGATGGCTACCTCGCTCGGCTCAAGCACCTCCCGTGCAAGCACTTTGCCTTTGGGGAGGGCAAATGCCCCTTCGGCGCCGCCTGCTTCTACTCCCACACCGACCGCGCCGGCCGGCCCGTGGGCCCCGAGCCGGCGAGGAGGGTCCTGGCGGCCAGGGGCGGCGGCCGCGGCAGCGCGCTGGCGCAGTACAGGCTGTCGGACTACTTGTTCGCGCCAGAAGCATCCGGGCAGCAGGACCTGCTGGAGGGCGTCCCCGTGCGCGACTTGCGTCTCGAGGATGCGTGAGCTGCGTTTCGCGTATTGTTTTGAGACATGCACATCCTGCACATGTGGATGTGCATGTGCATGTGCAGATAAACATGTCTGTCGTGGATTTCCCGCTTTTCAATCCGAATGGGTCGCCTCTTTGTCGCCAGACGCCACGCGCCGCCGGTCACGACTCTCACGGAGCACTTCGACTTGGAGTCACGGAATCACGACACACGCCTCTCGCAGTCGCACCGCACACGAGACACGCCACACACATTGGTGATGGTCTGTGGTCATTGCCGCTCGAGCGAGAAACACACAACTACCAAAACACCCGGCGCGGAGACTAGGGCGTAGGGGGGACCCCAACTACCTCTTTATGCGCATTGCCCTCAGCAGATACCGTTGATAGATTGGTCGCGTTCGGCTCCCTCGCGTCGTCTCCTCTTCCACTGACCACAGGCAATCTGCCGCTGCTGTGCCTTCCGTCTCGCAATCAATGACCCAACAGGCCGCGGCGACTTGGGGCATTGGTGGCGGGGTGATGGGCGGGGTGGTGGTGGATGGAGGATACGGCGACAGCGGCGGAGGCGATCGTTGGCCCTGACTGCGCTCCGAGTGAGGACCGGAAGCCTGATCGGGAGCCAGGCTGAGAGCGGGCCGGTCAGAGACCCTCTGTAGCTGCCACCGCCGGCACCACCTGCGATGGGAGACGCAACGTGATGGGAGGCGCATTGTGCGTCATTGAGTTGCAACTGCTGGGGATCGGGCGAGCCTCGTCTCTGCTGCACAAGGGGGTCCTACTCACCAGCCCGGTCTCCCGTCAAAGTCGACGAGAGCGTCCTTTGTGTCCACTGCCGTGACGACGCCAATCGAGCCCGTGGGCGGGGCTTCGAGGCCAAGGGCAGCCAACGCATTGCACTCGGTGCTGCAGAGGCGAACGTGATCGCCCACGGAGATGGACGGCATCCTAACCCGGGACGTCTGGTTTGGGTGGTTTGGCGCTCGTGCGCCGCCAAGCACAAGCACACACAGAGCTGTTCAAACATCCAGTAAAAGGCGAGCTCTTTAATGACCGCGCAAGATATGAAGGGTGGCTAAGGGCTCTGCCCGCAAGGCGCCCGCGTCGCAGACGCGGTACCATTGACAAATCTGCAATATACCCCCAAACGAGCAAATAGCAAAATCCGAATACCGTGTGGCACGAACTTGCGTGATCTGTCTGACTGAGCCGTGGACGGGGGCAAGCCTTCAGCTGGTGCCAAGACATCCGTAAAATCAGCAGTTCACCCTCGGGTATGTTCGTAAGAGCTATATACACTGAAAATTGAAGCCAAGAACGTCCGCCAAATCCGTGCTTTCGGAGCTACTGAGGGAAGCCGCTGTCGAGCCCAGCGTGCCCGCGGCCGCCTGCGCCTCCCGCGCAGCACCGCCGCTGGGGACGACACGCTGGACATGCGCGTCGGCTCGCCCGAGGACTGCTATCGCGACCCTCCCGTCGTGCCGCAGCAGCCTCCGACGAGCTCTGCAACCGAGGAGAGTGAGGGTGCGCCTCCCCTCACTGCTGGCCTGGCTGCGCACCGCCCCACAAAGCACCCCTCGAGCATCTCTACAAGTACAAGCAAGTGCAAGGGCGACCTTCTCCAAGTCGTCAACGCGCCCGGCGGCTCCGGCAAGACTTTAGCCTTGGCCACCCTCCTTACGGAGCAGGAGGAGTTCCGCTCTCGGTCGGCAACGTGGCAGCTAGTCGAGAGACTCGGTAGTTGTGACCCCCCTGAGGGAGGACAGACAGGTGGAGAGAGAGAGAGCTTTTGTGGTGTTGGTGTACGCAATAACGGGACAAGGTAGTCGTTCTCTCTAGCTCCCCTTCTAGCTCTTGGCATGAGCTGCGCCCTGTGTCCGACCCCTTTTGCGCAGCAACACCTTAAACTTTTAGGCCCTCCAAATTCGGGTCGGAGCGTACTCGAGTAGCGGAGTGGGCCCCGAGTTTGAAAAGGGCGACGGACGCTTGCGTCCTAGCCTCCAACAACGCCTCCCCGGCGCAGAGGGGCCCCCGGAGGGATGCTCAGATCGCGCGCGGCCACAATTTTCTTTTCCATATTCGATTTTCGCGACGCAAGCCGCCCTGAGAACCGCCTTGAGAACTCCGCCCTCTTTGGTGGCCGCCCTCGCTCTTCACGGGTGCCCGTGTATGCAGCTGGCCGACGGGACGCAGATCGTCCGCTCGCCACGCAGCGACACCGCTATGCAACAACCAGCGCACCTGCGTCACACGCAGCGGACTGCACAAACGGCCTCGGAGACGGGAACGGCCGAAGAGGCCTCAGAGACCTTGTCCGACCCTGGCGCCTCGGGAGAGCTGCTCGCGTCAAGCCGTCCGATGGGCCTGGGCGGGCACGCCCTGCTGCTGCTCGCGCTCCTCTCTGGCAGCGCGGTCGGCCTCCTCTTCTTTTCGCTGCTCGGGTACGGCGTCGAGGTGTACCGCGCCCTCGCCTCTGTGGACTGGTGGCTGGCGCCCTCGCTCGTGGTGGGCGCGCTCCTCCTGCTCGTCGCGCTGTACGCCCTCGACGCGCGCTATTGGAAGGGCGCCGGCCGCATCGCCGCTTATTTCCCGCTGCTCGCCGCCGCTGCCGGATCGCTCGGCGCCGCCTGCCTGCTCGGCACAAAGCAGTATCCGTACGCGCCGCTGCTGTGCGTCTTCCTCGTGCCGACGCTGGGCGTGTGGCTGCTGCGCCGCGCCGCCCTGCCCGCCGTCCCGCCGCGCGCCTTCTTCGTCGCCCTCTCCGCCCAGCTGCTGCTCCTCGCCGTGGCGGTGAGCAGCTCCGCAACAGCTCCACCAGACGGCACCGCACCGCAGACAGAAACCGCCCCGCAGACGCCACCGCACGGAGACACGCGTCAGCAGACACACGCCGCGCACATGCCCCGCCGAGCACTGCCCTGCGGCCGGACGCGGAGATGCCGACGGGCGCCCCGCAGGTGAGCCTGGCGTTTGCGGCGTGGGTGTTCTGGTCGCCGGCGTGGGGCGTGGAGGAGTGGGAGGAGTGCGAGGCGGGCCCGGCCCCTGAAACGGGCTGCCCAGTTGGGGTCGACTTTGGCGGATCGCAGACCAACATGTGGTTCGGAGAGGCGCGGTTCCGACCCCCCGGCCCCTCGGCCCCCTCTCCTCTCCCGCCGACTCCTTTCCCTCGCCCCTTTCCCTCGCCCCGCCTCCCCCAAGCCCCAGCCGCCAAGCCAATCTCGGCTGCACCCCCAAAGGGATGAGCGCCGCGCCCCCTCTGCCGCAGGTGCGCCAGTTCTGGCGCTACCGCATCGGCTGCGACAACTACACTGCCGACACCTCCGAGCTCGAGGACGACGAGGCAGTCGTCAGCTGCCACACCGGTGCCCCCCCCCCCCCCTCCCCCTTCCCCCCACCTCCAGCCCTTCCAACCGGCCTCCCCCTCCCCCCCTCCCCCCTCGCCCGCCAGGCGCCTTCCTCTGGTGGTCCTTCCCAATGTGGGTCCCTTGCGCGGTGAGGGCGTAGCCGAGATGCGGACGAGATAGCCGAGATGCGGACGAGATAGCCGAGATGCGGACGAGATAGCCGAGATGCGGACGAGATAGCCGAGATGCGGACGAGATAGCCGAGATGCGGACGAGATAGCCGAGATGCGGGACCGCCCCTCCTTCCGCCTCGCCGCCTCCGCGGCACTAGCGCCGCGCTGAGCCGCCGCGCCCCGCCTCCGCCTGGTCTTCCCAGGCGCTCCTCTTTGCGCTCCTCTTCTACTACCTTGCGAAGACGATGGAGGCGCGCGACCGCGGCAGCAGCAAGACGCGCGCGCAGTGGGCCATCCGCCTCTTCCTCTCCTCCATCATCTTCTTCATGGCGGTGACCTGGTGCGCCGCCTCGGTCGCGGGCGCAGGCCTCGGCGTCGCGCGGACGGTCGAATTTGCGGCGCAGCACGACTGACGGCGGGCGAGTAGTCAAGGAAGGGGGGCTCGTCCATGCGTTAGGTCGAGTTTGCGATGCTGCTCTTCATCGTCGTGACGACGGCTGTGGTGGGCAACACGGTCGGCTGGGGCAGGGTCGGCAAGACGGCGCGCGCCTCCGCCGCTTGCGCCGCCCCCACTCCCCTCCACCGCCGCCGCGCGCCACCCGCCGCGTGCCTCTGGCTGGTGCAGGCGCAGAGCCTGCCCATCTACCGCAAGCTCGCCTCGTACTCCGAGGGCTTCTGGGACTACGTCAAGGCCTTCGCGCTCTGGGGCTTGGGCTGGCTCGCCATCCCAACCTTCCTCGCCCTCTCCGCCGCCAACCAAGCCGCGCGAAAGGCTCTCCCCTTCACGCTGCCGCCCGACGCTCCGGGCCTCCTGACGGCGCACGGCGCGCAGCTCTGGGCGCGGCTGCGCACGTGGCACTGGGCGTCGGTCCGCTCGACAGCAGGGCAGTGCGGTCGAGGGCATGGGTAGCGCGCCCTCACAGCGGCCGCCGCCATGAGCAGGTGATCTCAAAGACGACATTCTGGTCCCTCGCGTACCTCATCCTCCAAGTCATCGTGATGCAGGCCCGAGAGTGACCGAGGGTGACCGAGAGTGACCGAGAGTGACCGAGAGTGACCGAGGGTGACCGAGAGTGACCGAGGGTGACCGAGAGTGACCGAGGGTGACCGAGATTGACCGAGATAGCTTCGGCCTCAGCGTCGGCCTCAGCGTGAGAAGCGGGATGCGGGCCGTCGGCTCCCCCAGAGGTCGAAGAGCGCCCCCTCACGCCGCTTGCCTTCTCACGCCACGCTGCCGTCCTCAGCTCGTCGTCGTCTTCTTCGCCTTCCTCAACGAGGCGCTCAGCGACTTCCACACCGGCGTCGTCTGCGCCATCTTTGCTGGCGCGCTGACCTCTCCCACCCCCCTCCCGCTCGCCGCCGCGCGCACCTCTCCCTTGGCATTCGCCCCACCCCCCAACGAGCGGCCCCGTGCCAGGCGTCGGGCTCCTCATGTTCATGATCCCGATCATTCCCGGCGTGCCCGTCTACATCGCGTGCGGCGCTGTCATCCCGGCATCGACGATGTCGCAGGCGGGCCTCGGCCAACTCTCTCTCTCCGCCCCCTCTCGGCTCCCCCTCTCGGCTCCACCTCACCCGGGGATGACGGTGCCGGCAGGCGAACCCAGACTGGTCGGACGACATGAAGCCGGGGGACGAGGTCCCGAAGGAGTTCTGGGTCGGCCTCGTCTACGCCACGCTCGTCGGCTTCGCACTCAAGCTCACCGCGGTCGCGCTCGAGCAGGAGCTCATCGGCCGCCAGTTCGGCAACTACGTCGCCGTCCGCTCCTTCATCCGCATCAACTCGCTCGAGATGCGCGCGACGCGCCGCATCCTGCGCCGGCCCGGCATCAACACGGCAAAGTGCGCCATCCTCGTCGGCGGGCCCGACTGGCCGACCTCGGTCACCACCGGCATCCTCAAGCTCAACCTGCTGCAGATGCTGCTGGGCACCACCCCCATCCTCCCCCTCATCGCCGCCTCCACCGCCGCGGGCGGGATGCAGCTGCTCAAGACGAAGGGCGACCTGTACGACTCGATCACCGTCATCGTCACCTTCCTCTCCTTCCTCGCGCAGACGGCCTCCACCCTGCTCGCAATGTACTTCATCGAGCGCACCTCGACGCAGTACGCCGCCGAGCTCGCCGCCGAGCCTCCCGACGAAGAGGTCCTCGCCCACGACGAGCGGCAGGCGACGCCTCCCCCCCCCTCTCCCCTCGCCCGCCGCGCGAAGACGCCTCCACGACACCCCCCCCTGTCCGCAGGCTGCCTTCTCAAAGGCGCAGCGCGACGGCACCAACTGGTCCTCCGCCGGCGTGCCGCTGTGGCCAAAGGTGACGATCATCACCTCGGCGCTGATGCTCGCCGGTGCGTGCTACCTCTCGGTGGTGGCCACCTGCTTTGAGCCCTTCTCCGTCTCGCAGCGCATCTCGGACCTCCCGGGCGGCACTGTGTTCGGCCTCGTCCGGCCGATGGGCTGGGTGGTGATCGGGCTCTTTGTCGGCGGGTGGGTGCTGCGCTACATCTACCGGCGGTGGGCGGTGGCGCGCGCGCGGAGCTGGCTGCGTGCGAGCACGGTCGACGCATCCATAAGCGACGCCTCGCCGCCGCCGCCGCCGCCGCCGCCGCTCGAGCTCGAGGTGGTGCAGGGGCCGCGCTGCGACGTGTACGTGAGCGACTCCCCGGTCGGGTCGCCGACCAGCTCGCCGTCGCCCGCCGCTTCTCGAACGGCGCCCCCCGACATCAGCGTAAGTCGGGACGTGAGCCGCGTGTGAGCGCGCCAACTGCTGTTGGCGCAGTACGTTTGTCTAACCCGCGTCGACGACCCATCTCCCATGCCATGTACAGCTCGGTTCCCGTGTGCGAGAGATACAAGAGTGTGTGGCTCCCCCAGAGCGCAGAGGTCCCACGCTCGAACGACCAGGCAGCAAGCCGTCCGTTGTGCGTTGAGCGGCCTTTGTGGTACACCCAAAACACAATGTACAACCTTTGAGCGCTTTCCGCTTTTTTGTGCGGCACCATGCAGCATGCTTATTGCTTTGACCTTTGTGGGTTTGTGGATTGCACTTTGCAGCGCGGGTGCGCGGAGGAGTGGCCCCGAGAGTGCGCGTAACACAAGTATATGTTTTGTTCAGAGTTTGTCCGTCGTTGGGTGCTACTAACACATCTGTCTCACAGTGTCACACGCACACCGGGCGCCACCGGCCCCGCACCGGCAACCGGCAACCCCGCAACCGCCACATGCCGCCACGGACCCGCCAGCGCAACCCCGGACGACGTCCCACAAGCACACAGCATGCCTTCTGTGCATGCACATAGCGCGCGCCGCCCCGCAACGAGACGCAGGCAGCAGGCGAGGCGAGATGCGCTCCAGGCGCCGGCACTACTCCTCGTCGAATGCCTCATCGTCGTCGCAGTCGAACACCGACACCCGCGACTGCGCGCGTCGCTGCAGCAAGGCCTTGGCCAGCATGCCCGCGATGTGGTCCGTGCCGACGTTGCCCATCGCTGGTTCCGTCGCCCAGCGCTTCAGCTCTTTCTTGCGCAGCGCTTTGCCAAGCGTCGCGCCGTCGATGGACGACTGGCGTCGCACCTTGTGCAGCTTCGCCTCGCGGTCGAAGCTGAGGATCGCGCCTTGGAGCGCCGACGACATCTTTGAGCCTTTGATCGACGGCTCGTCCGCCGCCGCGCCACCGCTTCCGCCGGCGGGACCGTCGAGGAAGAGGGCTGAGCGGCGGCGGATCGACTGCCGCCGGATCGACTGCCGCCGCGAGTCGGGCTGCGGTGGCGGAGGGGCTGCCACCAACGGAGGTGGGGCGAGCCGCGGCGGCGGCGACGGGGAGAGTGTTCCCGCCGAGGCTGCTGGGGCAGCCGCTTCGTCGACGACGCCGTCAGCGGGCGCAGTCCCGTCGGAGCAGCGGGGGAGGCCTATGGTGCGCCCAGGCGTCAGGTCTCTCCGCGCGAGGCGACGGTTTGCGAGCGGCTTCTGTGGGGGCGGCACCCGTCCGCCGCTTCCGGCGGCGGCCCGAGCAAGTGATCGAGGAGGGGAGGGAGGAGACGGCGTCGCTTGCCTCCCCGAGGGCGGCGAGCTCGAGGAGCGAGGGACGCTCCACCGCCGCCGGCGAGTTGAGCGGCGCATTCTCGTCCGCGTGGGGCTCCAGCGGCGACGGCAGCGGCGGCGGCGACGCGGCCTTTGGCGACGCGGCTGGCGACGGCTCGGCTGGCGGCGATGCGGCTGACGGCGACGCGGCTGGCGGCGAGGAAGGGGGCGGCGGCGTGGGTCCGTCTTGCCGCGGCGCGGCGGGAGGGGCGCCGGGCGCGTCGGGCAGCGACGGGCGGAGCCACGGGACGTCGTACGCCGGTACCCACGCCTCAGTCCCATCCTTGAAGACCCACGACTCTTGGTGCAGCGCGCCTAGTCGCGAGCAAGAGGGGTCAGCACACAACACGAGGGCGGCGAGGCCGCGCGGCCCGACTGCGCGCGCCCTGGACGGCCGCCGCGGCGAGCGCGTCGGGGGCGACCGGACCGACGGGCTGCTCGCCGCAGTCGACGTAGAACCAGTCGCCGTCTGGCCGCGCCGCCTCCTCGAGCACCTGCGCGCGCTCGACGGGGGGGTGGGAGACCGTCGCGCTGCCAGCCCGTCGGGCGCGGCTCGGCCTCCGGGGCGTGCTCGCGCCTGCTGTGTCTCCTCGGCGGACGCGTCGAGCGCCTCCTGCGCGTCCTTCACCTGTTCGCGCAACAGGCTCGCGGTTGTCACGGCTGCAGCCGCGGCTGCCCGCACTTCCTCCCGGTGGCGCAAGTCGCCTCTTGCTCCGTCATGCCGACGCCGCCGCTCGACGCCTTGAGCAGCTCGTTGATGTCCTCGAGGATGGTCGCGTCGAAGCGCTTGATCTCCTCGAGCACCTCCTGGGCATAGCCCGCGCCACTCCCTCCCGCAGCTGCAGCCGACTCGCCTTCGCCCTCCCCGCCGGCGACCGACTCGAGAGGAGGGCGGCTGCGGCCGAGGCTGCTGCGGCCGAGGCTGCTGCGGCCGAGGGGGGCGCCGAAGCGGCGTGGCGCGGGCGAGCGGCCGGTCGGGGAGCAGAGGCGCACGCTCGGCGAGATGCCTACGCGCACGGCGGCAAGAGCTTTAGCCGGCCGGCGGCCCTCGAGACCCGCCCCCTCGAGATCGGGCAGAGTGCCCAGAGCGCGGGGCGTGCCCAGCGCGGGCTCGACCGCCACCGCTGCCGCCGTGCCCTGCGCACCCCCTCCGCCGCCCCACCCAGCCTCCTCCGCGCCGTCCTCGTCGCCGACGATGAGCGAGGGCGGCGGTGGCGCAGCCGGCCCAGCCGGCGATGCAGCCGGCCCATCCGGCGATGCAGCCGGCCCAGCCGGCGATGCTGCCGGGCCAGGGTCGCTAGAGGGAGCGGCGGTGGCGGAATCGGCAACGGCGGCGGCGGGAGCGCGCGGAGTGGTCGCAGCAGCCGACGGCGACGGCGCCGCTCCGCCAAAGAGGCTTCGCGTCACAGGCGCCAGCCATCCCCAGAAGCCGCCGCCCGCGTCGCTGGCGTCCGCCGCTCGCGCGAGGGCGACGGCGGCGGCGGGCAGCGTGAGCACGTCCGCCTAGAGACGCGGCGTCGGACGTGGGTGAGAGGGAGGCCTGGCCGCGGGCGGCGGCGTCCGCGTGTCTGCCGCGGCGGAGCACGAGGGGGCGGCGGCGGCGGCGAAGTGGCAGATGTCGGCCGGGACAGAGAGCGCGGCGGCGGAGGCGGCGACCGAGGCGGTCTCGGTGGGGGTGAGGAGGTGGTTGGCGGCGGCGAGGGAGGAGAAGGCGGCGAGGGAGGAGTGCACCTGCTCGCGGCCGCCTCTGTGAGCGGGGGACGGGGGGAGGGGCAGGCGGAGGGCGGGGCGCAGGAGGGGCGCGGGAGGGGCGCGGCTCACTGCGCCGACGCGCCGCTCCTCGAGCTCCTGCAGCTGCGCGAGGGCCTGCGGCTGCACCTCGGCCTCGAAGAGGCGGGTGACGCCGTTGGCCGCATCCACCGCATCCCGCGCCACGCGCGCGCGGCTGCGCAGCGACTCGGCCGTCGACGACGCCGCCGCCTCCTTCGCCGCCGCGGCGAGCTCTCCGCCGCTCGCGCCGGGCTGGCCGTGCGCTCGGTGGAAGCTCTCGAGGTCGCGCGAGAGGCCGGTCGCCTCGTCGGCGGCGGCGGCGCGGTGGCGGCGGACTTGCGCGAGCCGCCTGTCCAGCGGGCGGAGCAGCCCCTCCCGCTCGGCCACCGCCGCCGCCGTCGCCTCCTTGAGCGGTGCGACGATCAGCCGCTTCATCTCGTCGGCCGCCGCGCGGTGCGTGCCCGCCTGCGCCGCCAGCGCCGAGTGGACGGCGTGCCACGCCTCGTTCGCCGAGGCGTAGGGCAGGTCGCGGCGCAGCGGCCGCGCGGCCGACTTCAGGCCCCACCCGCCGCCGGCGTTGCCAGCCTCGCCGGGCCTCGCGAGCCGCTCGCGCAGCCGAGAGAGCGCGCGCGCGTGCTCGTCGCACAGGCGCGCCCACTCGCGGAAGAGCTCGAGCACGTCCCCGTCGTACTCGGACGCCGCCGCCGCGCGCGCTACGCTGTACCCGTGCGGCAGCCTCTCCTGCCACACCCTCGCCGAAAAGCCGTCGGCCGCGTCCGGCTGGGATCCGCAGCGCGGGCCAGGCGGGCTGACGTCGGGCTGGAACGGCACCGCGCCGTCGAGCTCCCAGGTCGTCGAGGAGGGGGCGGAGAGGACAAGAGAGAGCGCGCTTTCGGTCATGGCCGGGCCTGTTTGTTTGAACCAGGTTGGTTGTGAAGAGCTGGGGCGCGCCACCCAAGAGCCTATAGGTAGGTGCGGATCGGCAACAGCGCAATCGATCTTTTTGCCCTCTATCACCTTGGGTTGCAAGAGCTTGAAACACACCACGCAGGGGCACAGCAAGCACGGATAGCCGTTGAGGAGAAAGGGGTAAGGTGTGTGTATGCGCGCCACCTCCCGCGAGCGCGGCGGGATCGGAATTGCGGCCGGAGGGAAGGGCGAGCCGCCGCCGCCGCCGCCATATTCCATCAGCGACGACGACCGCGGCGCGCCTCGCCCCAAACGCACAACGAGACCTGCGACGACACTCCACTTCCCACTCATCTTCCAGCAGCGAGGTCGGCGATCGAGACAGCGGCCTGATCGACGAAGGCTGACTTTGCGGCACCATCATCGGACGATGTCGACGAGTTGGGTCGCTCTCGCGGTAGCCAGATGACCTCTCTTCCTAGGAGCATCGGCCATGGCCGCAGGGAGCGCGGGGGAGGGCGCTGGAAGCAACACGGAGCTCCGTTGGAGACGTTTTCAACTTCAAGATTAGCGTGTCAGAGTGAAATGGCACTAGCCCAACGAAGCTCGAAGGCGCTCTCGCAAAAAATATGGTTGTGGATTGATTTCGAATGGCGGCTGCCGTCCGATTTCTTTTTTTATTTTCCTTAGCTGCCTGAACTTTAACCAACGAGCACCGCGAGCGGGGAGAAAAAGAAAGAGGCGCGCGCTTGCTTCAAGCTGACTGGCTCTTCAAGCAGCCGCCTGTGAGGCGTCCTCCCCCGTTCAAGTCTGCAAGCGCCGCTCCCAAAAATTTGTCTTTCTTTTTGGCGCGTTGACGGGCTTTTGGCTTCTGTGTGCAGTCACCGCGCTCGTCGTGCCGTGTGCTTTTTGAGAGAGGCTCGTCTCTTGAGAACTGCGGCTACGACGGCGCTCTAGCTCCTTCCTAGCTGCTGGCGGTCTCGCGGGTGTCTGTCTGGCTGGCGACCCGCTCAGGCTTGCGAAACGGCCGGCCGCGGCGACGTGTTTCGAGCTCCGTGGTCTTCTCCGCGCGGCTGGGCCCGCTCCTATACGGGACTGATCCGCCCCCTGACTGGCCGGTCCGCCGCCGTCTCTCCGGGATGTGAGGGGCCGCTGGATGGAGTCAATGCTGACCCACCGAGCGCCGCGCGGCGTCAGGGAGGTCGGGGTGGGCGTGCAAGTACTTTTGGATGGCGCGGACCTGCCCCGCAGCGTTTGGCGACTCGGCAGTCTCTTGGGCTCAACCAGGTTTTCCGGAACAAAACAAAAAGGAAAACAGAGGGTCCCCACGGCACTTTGCGTTTCCGGAAATTTCCAGGGAAAACAGAGGGTGTTTGGTGCTCCATTCTGGAAACTCGCGAGTTTCCCTGAGTCTGAGAGCTGGTCTGGGGCAAAATCTGAGGCAAAATTGAGGAAATCGACAAAATACCCAGGCGGTCGCAGGGTAATTTCCAGGTATACACGGGTTCTCCGCGAAATTCCCGGCATTTTGCCGATTTGGCCTAAAATTTGGCTGATTTTGGGCCCAAACCAGCCTCAGACTCGGCTCAGAGCCAAAAATTTGACGATTTCCACGCAGTTTTCCCGGGAAAATAGAGAGGAAAAGAGAGGGTGCTGTAGAGAAAAAAGGAAAGGAAAACAGACGGGGTGCGAGAGGCAAACCTGGTTGAGCCCAAGCAGTCTCCCAATGGTGCGACACTGCCAAGTAGCGGCTATAGCCTATACATCTTGTCGCGCGTATGTCATCATCCCATACGGGGCGTGGAGGGTGAGTTGACCAGGGGGTTGTGCGCTGGGCCCTCCTGCTCGGCTCCAGCCGGTAGACAAGTCTTGTCATCAACAGAGTAGATGGATCTGACCTCGGGGCCGATGTGACCAAGCGCTGGTAGCGTGGTTTGACCTCACACCCATGGTCTCACAGTGTGCCGGCAGTCGCCGAGCAGTGTCGCTCACACAAGCCGCAGCACAAGTGACTTAGGGCCAGTGAGGGTGAGCCCATCGCTGTCACAGCTGTGGCAGCCGCACAGTAGGCTGTGTCAACTGTGCAGAGTGTGTGAGCAGCAGAGGAGCTGCTCTCCAGGCTTCTGTCGCAAAGAGCTGCATGCCACCGAAGGCGCTGTCGAGGTTCGCCGAGCGTTGCGCAGTTGGGGGAAGCCGCCACCGACGAGCGCGTTGGAGTAATTCACTCCGGACAAAGACGGGTACACGCACACGAGCCGCGGTCGTATACCCGTCTTAGCGGCGAGGCGCGGGACCGTCTGTGGCGAAGTGGGTCGCGTCCCCCCTGATTCCGTCAACCCAGCATCCACACCCTTTGAGTCATGTGGACAGCGACCCTCCGACACAGCTATTATTTCAAATGCCGCCTGGTGTCAAATTTTGACGCGAAACGCCATCAGCGCCATGTCGATGTAGGTGTGCGTCTTGATGACGCCGCCCGACGAGACGTAGGGAAGGCGCGTCCAACTCGCGAGCTCGAGCTGCGGATGGCGATGCACGAGCGCATCGAGAAACGCCACGGCGCCCTGCTCGAACGCCGGCGCTTTCGCGGGCCACGCGCCCCCCGCGAACTCGAGCGGCTCGCGCGGCTTGCGCGCCGCGTTCCGCCCGCCGATGCGCCCCTCAAACACCTTGGCGCTGAACGGGAGGACGGTTGCGAGCACGAGCACGCCGCCCGGCGCGACCGCCGCGACCGCCGCGTCGACGACAGCCAACGGCTCGTCGCACCGGTCGAGCACGTTGAGCAGCGCCGCGGCCGTAAACGGCGGCGCACCGCGCAGCTCGTCGAGCGCGGCGGCCGCGCGGAAGCCACGCGCGCGGAGCGCGCGCCGCAGCGCCCACGAGCTCTCGAGCGCCGTCACGCCATTGGGTGCGACGCCGAGTGCGGCCGCGAGCTTCGCTGTCTCGGTGCCCGTGCCCGCGCCGATGTCGAGGAGCGAGCGCGCCGGCGCGCCGGCGGCGGCGTCGGCGAGGCCGGCCTGCAGCACGGCGTGTTCGAGGAGCGCGCGGAACTGCTCCTCGGACGCGACGTAGAGGGTCTGGAGGCGGAGGAAGCCACTCGCGTCCGTGCGGCTCCAGCCGAGGTGAAGCTGGAGCGCATAGAACGCCGCCCACTTGAGGCGCGTGAGCACGCGTCCGCGCCGGCTCGCGCTCGTCGCCGCCGACGCCTCGAGGAAGCGCGCGAGATCGGCGTCCGGAGTGAGCTTCTTGGAGCGCGAAAAAGTCGCAGCGAGTGCGGCGGCCGCCGCGTCCGTGCGCTCGAGCCCGCTCTCGCGCCACGCGTCCCTCGCCCAGCGCTCGAGCCACTTGACATTGACCATGAACGCGGCTTTCGGGATTTTCGTGCCCGGCTGCGGCCTCAGCGTGTGATCGTCCTGATCGAGCAGCGATTTCAACGAGGATGCGGCCGCGATCGACAACAACCCCACCGCGGCCGCAAGCAGCGTGGCGCGCGGCGCGCATGCGGCGCGCGGTGGCGGCGAGTCGCTCGCCATGCGCTGTCTGCCTTCTTCAAGGGAGGGAAGAGGAGGGGGAAGGGAGAGGGGTAGCGACGTTGCGCGCAGGCGCGCGGCGTCTTGTTCACAGCCTTGTTATGAGAAGAAAATACGTCCTATGGCGCTATGCGCTGGTCTGTGAGAGGTTGAGGTGCGAGCCCTGGAGGCCCTGGGGATGGGGGGAGACTACCCGCGGGCCTAGAAGGCCCGCGCGCAGGGGGGTGGGGCATTGAGACCGGTCATGAATGAGTGCGCGACACGCATGTTGCGAGCAGCGTTGTTGATGTTCTGCGCGTCGCCACAGACGGCGGCGCGCGAGAGCTGTTGCGAGTGGTGCTGGACGAAGCCCCGGGCGCTGCCGGAGGCTGTGCCGTAGTCGGTGCGGTCGACGGCGCTCGGGCTGCCGACCTCTTTGGCGAAGTTGAAGATGATTCTCTTGGTATAGGCGGCGCGATGCCGCCCTGGCTTTCGACGAGACAAATTTTGACGATTCCGTTCTTGACATGGAGCGCGTCGTAGTACTGTCCCTTGTGATCTTTGACCCAGCCTTTGCCGGTCGCATGGACGAGCGGGCCCTGTGACTTGTGGCCGCGCTCTTTGCACCCAAGAACCTTGAGCAAGGTTTGGTCGAGGGTGCTGCCGAATTGCCGAAACCAAACTTGTGGCCCAGTGACGCACAGCATCCGCCGTGTGCCGCCGAGCCCTGCCCAGCTTGCCTCGTCTTTGTGAGGGCGCTAGGCACCTTGACTTCGTAGTGGACATCACGCTGGGACTGCAGGTCCCCGCCGATCTCACACATGTCGGTGACGTGCCCCTCGTTGAGATGAAAAGTCGTCTGAGGGTTCGCACAAAAACACAACCCCGGACCCAAGACGCACAAGCACAGACAGTCGAGAAGGGAGAGACAGCAACGACAGTCAGAAGTCAGCGCTGGGTCCCAGGAAGGCGAATGCGATGACGGCCTCTAGTGTGAGCTCTAGAGCCGACAGACCCTCGCGTCCGGTGCTCACCGACGGCCGGGCGGGCCACCCGCCCACGCGCCGCCTACGCGCAGCGCGTGCGCCGCAAACTCGCCCGCCGACAGCGCCGGCCAGTTGCCATCGGCCGTCGCGAGAGGCCTGCCCGGCTGTCGCCGCGGGGCCCCCACGAACACCACGCGTCGGAGCGGTGCCGCGCGAACTCGCGCGCAAAGTGCACGCCCCACGCCCGCCGGAGCGTCGTAGCGAAGCAGGACCGGTCCGCGCCTCCTTCGCGCTACGCGCGCCGATCCGCCTCCAGTGCTGCTTGGATGCCGACTCCACCACACAGTCGAACAGCTGTGGTGCAGGTCGTCCGACGCCTCCGCGCAGGCCCCGACAACGAGGCTCGGCAAGTGCTCAGCGGCAAACACGATGCCGGCCACGCCCGCGGTGTTCAGCGTGAACGTCGAGTCCTCGCTGGCTGAATCGAACATGAGATGGTAGCACACTCCCGATGTCGTCGGCGTCAGGGTCAGCGCCGCGTCCGGGGAGACGTCTGTGCAATTCCTATTGCCTTCGATCAGGACCGCAGCATCGCCCTCGAGCGATTCCATCGTCGCCGCCGTCGGCGTGTGGGTCGCGATCATCACGAGCTTCATCGTCGGGTCGGCGTATTTGCCGTTGACCTTCTGCGCCAGCCAGGGGCAGGGCCCAGGCAGCGAGGCAGGTGTGCGTCGTGTCGGCGCTGGTATCGAAGACGCCGATCCACTCGAAAGGCTGTGTCCAGGGCGTCGGCGGCGGCGGGGCGGCGGCGACGTTGCACCGACCGACGCCCGCGCCTTGCTTGCCCGAACGAAGATGAGTCCTTGTCGTTCAGGCCGCACCGCGGTCATGCGCGCAGCCGGGAGAGCGCTCAATCGCCGAACTCGGCGAGCGCCTCCATCGTTTCCGCTTCATACGCCTCCTGCCAGTAATTGAGCGCGTGGGTGTCGGCCGCCCCCCGCGCTCTGCAGGTGTCGTCGGGACCCTCGTCGAGCTGTGAGCGAGGCGGCGAACGCGCACGCGACCACTCCGCGGAGCCGAAGTGGCGGCGCGCAGAGAGGAAGAGGAAGACCCCCAGCGGGCTCGCGGAGGCAGAGGCGCTGCTGCCGCTCCTCTTCCTCAACAACATGCTCGGCTACGCAGACAGGACAAACCTCTCGGTGGCTGTCATCGCGATGAGCCGCGAGTTCGGCTGGGGCGAGGCGAGCACCGGCACGCTCCTCGCGTCATTCTTCTGCGGATATGTCCTCACGCAGATCCCGGCCGGCCTCGCCGCCGCTCGCTTTGGAGCCAAGCGAGTGCTGCTGGTCGGTACAGTAGTCTGGTCTGCGGCAACAGTTCTCACGCCGTGGGCCGCACGCCAGTCCATCAACGCCGCCCTCGCGGCGCGCACTGCGCCCTCCGCCAGTACGTCATTCGCGGCGCCTGACGGTTGGAGGACGGTCAATCTAGTCTAGGCGCGCGTCGTCGTCGGCCTCGCCGAGGGCGTCCAGATCCCGTGCTGCAACGCGCTCCTCGCTGCGTGGGTCCCTCTGCACGGCCGGGCGCGCGCCCTCTCCTTCATCTTCAGCGGCCAGTTTGTGGGGACCATCTGCGCCCTCTCCTGCTCGCCGCTGGCGGAGTGGTGGTGGCCCTCCATCTTCCTGCTCTGGCGCCGCCGCGCGCCCCCGCAGGGTGGCGGAGGGTGCCAACCGCCCTCCGCGCCCCTCTCCCTAGGGGATGGCTCGGCTTTGTCTGGTGCCTCGTCTTCGCCGCCCTCGCCCCGGCCTCATCACCAGGCGCCTCCGCCGGAAAAGGCGCGGCAGGGGAGGAGCTGGGCCTCATCTCTGCTGTTGACGGGTCGGGGAGCCCGCGCTGCAGCGCCTCTGCGCCGCGCTGCGCCCGCCCCGCCTTCCTCGCGCACCCCGCTTTCCTCGCCGTGTGCGCGGCGCATTTCGCAAACAACTGGGGCGCGTACCCCCTCCTCTCCTGGCTGCCAAAGTACCTCACCTCGCTCGGCGCCACGGCCACGGCCTCGCGGGCTGCTCCCCTCCCGCCGCCCGCCGCAGGCTCCCCGCGTTGAAACCCCGCAGGCGCGACGCTCGCAGACGGTTCGACCCTCTTCAGCACGCCGTACGCCGTCGCCATCGTGGCGGACAACGTCGGCGGGTGGGTGGCGGACGAGGTGCTGCTCTCGCGCTGCCGGCTCAGGCTGCTGCACGCGCGCAAAAGCATGCAGGCGGTGGCAATGCTGGTGCCGTGCGGCTGCTTCCTCCTCCTCTGCGGGAGCACGTCGGCCGGCGGCGCGACGGCGCTGCTCGCCGCCGCCATCGCCGCCTCCTCCTGGTCGCACGCAGGCTACGCGGCAAACATCCTCGACCTGGCGGGCGGCGACGCGGCGACCACCGCTCAGATGTGGGGCGTCGTCAACACGGTCGGAACCGTGCCCGGCATCGCGGCCAACGTCGTCACCGGCCGCGTCCTCGCCGCCGCGCCAACGGCCGCCGCCGGCCGGTGCGCGTCTTCAGCACCGGAGCCGCGATCTATGTGTGCGGCCTCACAGCCTTCCTCGCCTTGGCGCAAGCGCTGCCACTCCCGACCAGCGGGGCGGAGAAGGCTGGCTCGTGCGGCGCCGGCGCGGTGCTCGGGCCAAACCCAAAGCCCGCGACGCGCGAGGAGTCCGAGGTGACGCGGCGCATTGCGCTCTCACGAGATGTTCCACGCGAGGCGCGCGGCATACCACATGGAAGAGTTTTTCTATAATTGACCTACTACGATGTACGAACCCTACACTTCACATCATAATACCCGGCTGCGACTCCAACGCTCTCCAGTTGACATGCTGCCACGCTGCGGCTCCGGGCATCAGCCTCGCCAGCGCGCACACCACCGGCCGGCACTCGATCGCGAGCACGTACGACGGCTGCTCGTCCTCGAGGTGGTAGTCGGGAAGCGTGTCGAGCAGCACCTGGGGGGAGCGGCCGGTGCCGACTGAGGTGCGTGTGTGGGCGATGAACCCAAACTCTGTAGGCGCGGGCGCGGGCGGCGCGCGCCCTGAGCTGATCAAGGTTGCTGAGCTCGGGCGGGAGCGACTGGCCCGCCGCCTCCGCCTGTGGCAGCACATCGAAGAAGCTCTGCAACGCTTGCTGGAAGCTGCCGACGGTGAGCCCTTCAATCGTCGGCGGCGTCCGGTTGGGGTTGTGCATCGGCCCCGGAGGGACAGGCGGAATGGCGCCGCGGTTGGGCCGATTCGGGCCGCCCGGTACAATGTACTTGCCCACGTGCCCGCAGATCTTGCACTTGACGCCCTGCACGTGGCAGTGCCCGCACACCTCGCAGATGGGGTCGCGCTCGCGCTTCGCAACGTTGTGGCGCGCCGCCTCTGCGAGGATCTCCTGCTGCATGGAGCTCGCTGACATCCGAGTTCGAGCTGTCCGCTTGCCCAAGGGCGGCGGAGATGGTGCTCGCTGGCGAGGCGGAGCCCGGGGCGCGCGGAGTGGTTCTTTATGGGCCGGGAAGAAATCGCGCGACAATGCGCGGGGGGACCCTGTCCTCCCTTTCAACAATGGTGAAAAGGTGAGAAGTGATCGTCATGGGTGTGTTGTATGTGCATCCCTTTGCCTTGCCGTCGCGCGTCGGTCCTCCCCACATGCTCATGCAACATGCACTCCCAACAGACACACGAGACTACGAAGTCCGGCCCCTCAGCTCTGCCGGCACCGGCGCGTCGGGCGGCGCAAAGTGGCGGAAGAGGTCCGCGGGCTCGAGGTGCGAGGCGACGCCATCGCGCTGGGCGCGTACCGCCGCGAGGAGAGCGGCGCGGAACGCGCACCCGCCGCCCTCCCCGTGCCGCTGCCAGGCGTCTCCGAACCGCGCGTGCATCGGCACGAGGTCGGTCGAGTGGACGGCGCCGAGGGTCCGGTGGGCCAAGGCCGCGTGCAGCGGCTGCAGCGTCACGTACTTTCCACTCTCGCCGCGCGGGGCGGGCCGCACCTCCCGAGACACGACCTGGCACGGCACATCGCCGGCGTGCTCGCGGAGAGACGCGTCCTCGCCGCCCGCCGCCCCGCCGATCCGCGCGAGCAGCGCCTCGGCCTCGACAAAGAGGACTGTCCCCGGCGCCGTCTTGATCGACTTGCCTCCCCACGCCGCCCGCCGCGCCCGCCCGCCGAGCGCGCGCGCGAAGGAGGCGCGCTCGCCGGCCGCCCGCTCCTCCGCCTCCCGCTTCATCCGCTCCAGCGCCGCGAGGTCGTCTGCCGCCCACGGGTCCGGAGCGTCCAGCAGGCCCGGCAGCGCCGCGCGCGCCGCGTCCGCCCACGGCATCCGCCCGCACAGGTCGGCGATGTCCTCCCGCACGGGGCAGCGCACCTGCAGCACCTCGCCGCCCTCCTCGAGCTCAATCTCGAGCGAGGCGCAGTGCAGCGCGAGGCTGCGCAGCCCGCGCTCCTCGCGCCACCACCGGTTGACGCGCGAGTCGCCGTGCTTTGCGTCGCCCAGGATGGGGTGCGAGAGCCCGCCAAGGTGCTTCCGGATCTGGTGGAAGCGGCCGGTGGTCGGCTCGGCAACCACCAGCGAGGCGCCGAGGTTGAGTCGCCCCGTGACCGCCTCGCCCTCCCCCGCAACCTCCTCGCCGTCGCACCCTCCGAGACACATCAACTCGGTGCGCGCAGCGCGCAGCACGCCCTTGTCGTCGCGCACCGGCCGCTCGACCACGAGCCCTTCGCCGAGCGTCGGCATCGCGTTGCCCCGCGCCACGGCGATGTACGTCTTGCGGACCCGGCCGGAGGCGAATGCGCGCTGGAGCGCCGCGGTGGTCTCCGAGTCCTCCGCAAAGACCAGACAGCCAGACGTGCCAGCGTCGAGCCGGTGCACGGGGTTGACCTGCGTTCCGAGCTGGTCGCGAAGAAGCTGCAGCAGCGCAACGTCGCCTTTGCGCGACCAGTCGTTGCGGTGCACGACTAGCCCTGCGGGCTTGGCGACCACGCAGAAGCCGGGGCGGCGCGCCAGGATTGGGATGGACGGCGACGCCGCGAATAGGCTGGCAGCCGAGGTGAGCATGTTCGGCAGGTGTCGAGGCGACAGCGGCGGCGACGTGGTCGACACTAGACGGCTAACGCACAACCTGGACACACCGCAGCATCAGCGCAGCATCCCCGGCGTGAGTGCCAGTCATGGTGGGCTCGTTCAGGTGCTGACGGCTAACCTCGAAATCTGCACCTTGGATGGCTGCGCTCCTGCGCTCCCTGTTTCACAGCCTTGTTATTAAGGGGAGAAGAAAATACCTCCCCCGGTATTTATACCGGTAGGGAGGCGTGTGCCGAATACAAAGTGGAGTCCCGCCCCGCAATAAGCGCAGATGTCCTCTTCAGCCTGCTGAGAGCTTCCTGGCCCGCGCGCGCGCTCCGCCTGGCGCGCGGAGCGACTCGGTGGACGTCCGAGCCCGCCGCCCCTCGCCACTGCTCCCTGCTGGCCCATGCAGCGCGACACCGCCGGCGCTGCGCCTGCTTCCTTGCGCGCCGCTGGACGTCGGCCAAAAAGACCGCTGCCCTCTGGGGACCCGACTCCGCGAAGATCGCGCGCGCGTCGTGAATGCGGCGCGCGCGCGATCTCCGTTCCCGGGCACGCCGGTCGCAGTGACATGGGATCCCAGGCTCAAAACAGCACGCTCAACAGCGAGAGCGCCGCCGCTGCTCCTCCTCCCGCCGCCGGTCCGCTCACCGAGACAAACTCGGTGCCGCCGTTCTCGCCGCCGCCGCCGCCGCCGCCGCCTCGACCCTCGCCTCCGTCACCGCCGCCCTCCATCTCGCGGCGGCGTCCCTCTGATGGCGCGGGCGCCTCGCTCGCCGGCGCGCCTCGCCGCTGCCCCCCTCTCGCCGCCGCTCCCTCGTGGCCGCCGCCTCCCCTGTCAATCCCGCCGTCCGCACCACCGCTGCCACCGCCTCGCGCCTCGCCGCCGCCGCCACCGCCCTCCCCCTCGCCGCTGAGCGGTGCTTGGGCCTTGGCGAGCCCCTCTCCGCACCGTCCCGGCCGCGGTGCGCACAGCCTGTGCACACTCTCGCCTTCTCTGTACTCTGACTGCGCCGCCGGCGCCGCCACGCATGCAGTTGGGTGCTTGGGTCAGCGGCGTGAGCCGAGAGGTGGCCCACCGCTCGTGACAGCGCTCAGCGCGCGCGGGGGGGGGGGGGGCACCCCTGGTCCCCTCGCCGCCCAGACACACGCGCGGGACGCGCCCCGGCAGCAGCTCCTGCCTCCTCTCCGCTCTCGCGCCACCCCGCGCGCGGGGGCGTGACGTCTGTAGCGAGGCGACGGTGGGACGGTGTCCGACCCGTTCTGGGGTGTTTTCATATAATGCGGCTCTACTCGTATCGACCAATAAAATACCGGGGGAGGCCTGCGCAGCCTCTAACTATACGTCCTATGGCGCTGTGCGCTGGCCTGTGAGAGGTTGAGGTGCGAGCCCTGGAGGCCCTGGGGATGGGGGGGGACTACCCGCGGGCCTAGAAGGCCCGCGCGCAGGGGGGTGGGGCATTGAGACCGGTCATGAATGAGTGCGCGACACGCATGTTGCGAGCAGCGTTGTTGATGTTTTGCGCATCGCCACTGACGGCGGCGCGCGAGAGCTGTTGCGAGTGGTGCTGGGCGAAGCCCCGGGCGCTGCCGGAGGCTGTGCCGTAGTCGGTGCGGTCGACAGCGCTCGGGCTTCACAGCCATCCGTGCTAAGGATGGCTGTGAAGCCCGAGCGCTGTCGACCGCACCGACTACGGCACAGCCTCCGGCAGCGCCCGGGGCTTCGCCCAGCACCACTCGCAACAGCTCTCGCGCGCCGCCGTCAGTGGCGATGCGCAAAACATCAACAACGCTGCTCGCAACATGCGTGTCGCGCACTCATTCATGACCGGTCTCAATGCCCCACCCCCCTGCGCGCGGGCCTTCTAGGCCCGCGGGTAGTCCCCCCCCATCCCCAGGGCCTCCAGGGCTCGCACCTCAACCTCTCACAGGCCAGCGCACAGCGCCATAGGTGATTCTGCATGGACACTAAGAGTTTGCTATGCT